CTTGCTTTATAAACAAATCACAGCACAGATTTTCAAGTCTTCAAGAGGTGATAGCGTGTATCAATGAAATATGTATCCTCCTATTAGCTAACCAAAGTTGGGGGAGTAATAAGAAAAAGCCCAAACAAAATGTAATTCTCCCCATACTCCAACCAATTTTCAAGTCTTCAAGAGGTGATAGTGTGTATCAATGAAATATGTATCATCCTATTAGCTAACCAAGGTTGGGGGGGTAATAAGAAAAAGCCCAAATAAAATGTAATTCTCCCCATACTCCAACCCTCAAATCAACTTGCAGATGCAGACAGCAGCATCACACTGTCCCTTCCAGTCCTCTGGTGCTGTGAGTTGAGCTCTGGAGGGTTAGACATGTATATGGATAATGAAATAGGAAGTCTTCTTCCTAAAGTTCATGCCTCCTAGTAGTCATCACTGCTTCTGATCATCTTCTAGGCTTCACTTTCTTTCTCAGTGGCTCCTCTTTCCTCTCTGATTTCCTGTGTCTTCCCCTTCTATAGAACCTCTTCTGGTTTGTTTTTTGGTGGGGTTTTTTTTTTTTACTTTTTGGTGCAGATTAGTTGAGGATACAGTAACCTGAAAACTTATTTTCAGGTTACTAATATCTCTTAAGAGGTATAATCTAGCCAAGTTGTGGCTTAAATACATAATTCGACAGTTCCACAGTTTGTTTCTCTGGCATCAGTATTAAAGGCACCTTTGTAATAACCAAAATCCTTATAACATCCTAGATATTGATGAGTGTTCAGAGCAACCAGCTCTATGTGGCAGCAATGCAGTCTGCAATAACCAGCCAGGAACTTACCGCTGCGAGTGTGTTGAAGGATACCAATTTGCAGCAGATGAGCGGACTTGTGTTGGTGAGTTTCATGTTTCTTAAAAGCACTGCCCACCAGCTTTGGGCTGTGATTCATCTCACATACCAAAACCAGGGCTTCAGGATCTGCACTGACTTCTAATGTGAGCTGAATTGAGGAGTTCGTGCTGCAGCTAGCAATTACTAGCTTTTTCTGCTTACTTTGTATTATTGTGCTTTGACTTTTGGTGGGGTTGTGTTTTGTTTCATACTGATGTCTAATCCAGAATTCAATCTAACAGATCAGATTTTAGTTACATATTGATCCCTTGGACAAGATGGTGCACCGGTCTAAATCAGTGTGTCTTGGCTATTGCAGGCTTATTCTGAAGTGATAGTTAATCATGCTGAAAAGGAATTGTAACTACAGATCATTTCACTGTTAAAATCAGATTTGGAGAAAAGCTAGCTCATTTTTAACGAACCATTAAAATTTTAAAATTTCATATTCGGTAGTTGTCACTGAATTAATTATTTTATGTAATTAAAATTAAAATTTTAAAATTTCATGTTCGGTAGTTGCCACTGAATTAATTATTTTATGTAATTAAATAACTTTCTGGAGGAAGCTTGAGTTAATCTGTATTTGCTGGACTAAGGTTGTCCGAACAAGGGATATCTTTTTCCTGTTTACCTTGATTTTCACTGAAGTTCTGGAAATTCCTTTTGGCACTTTGCAGAATTGCAAGATGATTGTGTGCTATGTGTGTGAAAGTGTATTTTCCATATAGAAAGAAAAAATGCAAGCTTTTGAGAACATTAAGCTGATTCTTTTGGGTATCATATCACAAATATCAAAGTTAAATAAAAAAATCTACAAACAGCAGATAGAAGAGGGGTAGTGACACTACTGCTAGAGCTGCAACTGTCAGGATAGGAGATCAGAGTTTTTATTTTTCATTATATTTTTGTTAGAATTTTTTCTTTGTATCCCAACAGTAATTCTATACTGATAACCTATACACACTCTGGCAGTATGGTAGAATCAGTTCCTGTTTCTTTTGGAGATAAGTGATAACAGCTGAGGATTGTTTGTTTCTGCTGTGACTGCTTTGTGGTAGAAGTTTAGTTGCCCTTTGATCCACTAATGCATCCAGGTCTTTCCTCATTATAGCCAAGACTGCTCCTTATCTAGGACTGAGGAGCCTCCATCTTAGAGCAGGCAGTTGCATTACTTTCCTTAAGTCTGATATTGCATGATGTGTATTACATTGCATCACAAGCCAAATTTCTCTGCTCCGGTAAGAATTACAATTTGCAACTGCTCCTCAGTCACAGTGCACCCTAAGTCTCCCCTGTGTTGAAGAAAGCTGGGAAAAAACCAACTTCTATTAGGACACTGGAAGGGATAGGGTGAGATGTGGAAGAGCAACTTTATTCCTTCTGTTGTGTCCACCACTGCACTTCTGTGGCTTGAACCTGAGAAGGAAGTATCCCCTCCAGCCATGACCTCACTGGCTTCACTCCTCCACTTTCCCATGAAGCTGATGTGTCCCACTTTTAACAATCAGTAAGTAACTCTGTGCCCAGCTTGAAGGATTTCAGTTTGATTCCTTCCTTGAACCAAAAGCAAACTGCATCTGTGAGACTGAAGAGGGGGAATATAAGCCCTAGTTTCCCAACAGATTGAAAATAAATGTCATGGTAATCTTGTTCTTCTTCTCACAGTGGAGGGTTTTATAACCCACAGACAACTTGAACCCCAGAAGGGGCAACAGCCTTTTTTGCCTTTGCAGATAGCTCTGAGATACCAGCTCTGACTCGGCTCTTCTAGAACACCTTTCTTTTTTTCATTCCAGTTGTGTGACTCACTGGACAGCTTTAGAAGAGAGTTGGAAATTAATCTTGTTCTTCTATTTGTAGGCTGAGAAATAGGAGGATTTGGGGACTCCCTGTGAGTTCCAACTCTTATGCACCAATAGTGCAGTTCTTAATTTATTATTTTGTAATCTAAATCTTACATCAAACAAAGATACTAATGATTCTAACAATGATGTCATTTCCTCCAGAGAAATGGAAAAAAAAGACTGTTTTCAGATCTGGCTATGATGGCAGATTTTTGTTATTTCCCTCCTGATACTGTGGTAGTTTCCATCTGTGTACTGTGATGAAAGGAGCATTGTAGAATCTCATCTAGATTCTTTGTCAGCTCCTCATAAGAATTGTGCAAAGAGAGCCTCAGTGGACTCTGTTACAGCAGCTGGAAGTCTGTTCTTTGTTGTACACCCTGGACACTTTATTTCTGGACCCAAAATTTTTGTAGTATTTTGCTTCTTCCTATTTTAAATACCATAGTTTCCTTTTCTCTGACTTAACAGGCAAGTATAGGCAGGTCTCCAGTGACTCCCTGGAGTAACTTGTGTGTAAGGCAGTGCAATACCTTCAGAGTCACTGCTGTCAACAAAGAGAAAGTTATGAAAAGCTGCAGGTCTGGTCCCAGCTTACACTGTGGGTCAAAAATCTCTCCAGTAATTGACAAATATGTTTATCTCCTATTGAGTGAGTCACAGTTCCTATCTGTTGCCAAATGACAGCAGCCCTGGGTCAGTGCTAGGTTAGTGTACTGGGTCATCTAATAATTCCCAGTGCAGCGAACTCACCACTTAGCTAACATGTGAGGTACCTCTGTGAGATGCCTTACATTTCTACATTCAGGGCTCCTTTTTATAAACAAAGCTGTCATGGATATTAGGATCTGTCACTGTGATAGCCTTACTGCCCTGTTCTATATTAACAAACATCTGTGAGGTGCTGAGGACATTCGGTTCCTTGTAAAACATTAATAAGATTTAACAAGTGAAAGATCTTGGCAAAAAAAAATAAAAATCACAACCCGCAAACAAAAACTCAGATTCCTTTTTTCCTTTTTTTTATTCTGTAAGCTTTCACAGCTGTTCTTCTCTCACATGAACTTGTTGAGAGCCTCCAGCTTTATAAAGAAAAATTCAAATTTGTATGTCCTCTTGTATGTTTAACCCGCAGCTGTTGAATATGCCATAAACCACTGCCAGACAGGCACACACAATTGTGACATTCCTCAGCGTGCTCAATGTGTGTACACTGGAGGGTCTGCCTACATCTGCACATGCCTCCCTGGCTTCTCTGGAGATGGACATGCCTGTGAAGGTGGGTAGCACCAGTTATTGCACAACTTGGCCAGTCATTGCAACGTCCTGTAGTTACTTGTGATTTAAAGTAGGAAATTTCATAGTTAAAGTCCTTCAGGCAGGTGTTTGTATTAAGCTTTTGTCTTTTCCTCCACTCACTTTTGAATTCAGTCTTCTATATCTGAGCTACAGAAGATCCAAGATGTGGTAACTGCAGAAATTGCAGTAGTTGTGATTGCAGATCTTCAGCTGCTGGAACTGTTTGTACTGTATTGGTTAATATGACACAAGATGCTCAGGTTATGTAAAGAAAGTTACATTCTGTTCCATATTAGTTGGAGTGCAGGGGGGGCACAGCTTTACCTAACTACATATTGGAAACATTGCTGGTCAAATCCTTCTCTTGCTGTGTTTCCTTGAGAAACACGGGCATATATTTCTAAAATAATGTGCGAGTGAATAATGCCAGTTACGCTTTGGAATAACTTAGTGCAGGAATTTGCTGAGATACAGGACCTAAAATACATGCATGCCTTCTTTTTTTTTTTTTTTTTTAATCCTTTGCATTTCTGTATTAGATGTTCTTCTAAAAACTGTCCCTAAGTTTAATCAGATACCCTAAAATAAGAGCCTAAAAATACAGCATATTTGTACTTTATTTCATCACTCTAATTTATCCATCAGGAGGAACACTTACTTGAGACTGATCTTTTCTTTTACAGATGTAGATGAATGTCAGCAGGGCCACTGTCATCCAGATGCTTTCTGCTACAACACTCCTGGGTCCTTCAGCTGCCAGTGTAAGGCTGGTTATCGTGGGGATGGTTTCCGGTGTGTGTTAGGAGGTAAAATTCTATGGTTCTTGACAGTTGTACCAGAAATGGAATTTGGGAGTTGGAGTATGTATGCTAATTTGGTTCCTTTCTGAAACAAATTGTGTATTGTCACACTGATGTCTTTAATCTTTCTCAAGCCTTTCAAGTTTTGAATTTCACCAACCTTGTGTCAAAACCTGCATCTTGACTATTACCACTTTTCCATAATATCCTGTTCAATGTCCTGGTTTAGGTTTTGTTTGTTCTATCCTCAGCAGTTTTCAGCCTCAAGCTGATCCTGTCTTTTGAAGTTGCCTTGTGTAAAGGTTTGACCACAGGGCTGTTCACACACTCAGTGTAGTCACTTACTGTAAAACACCTGGAACTGTCTGCAATGCAAATGAATGCAGCAATTACAGGAGAAAAGCGAAAAAAGAGACCAAAGTCATGAGACTGTCTGCAGTAAGGTCTAGATGCCTACATGCCACGTACAGCCTTTAGTCTAGAAAGACTACACTTTCTAGATGGCACTTGCTTGTTTCTGCATTTACCCAGCTTGTTCTCTATTCACCCTCCCACACTTCTGTTTCTCCATTGCACTTCGGGCCTTGAAGTATTAAACTCTTCAGCTTCAAGGTATGCTTTAAAAAAAAAGAGACAGAGAAGAAAGTAAGGAACACTGAAGCAAAAAGTACATTGTTATGGTTACTTTAATTCAACTGTGTGGCAAACCTATGGGACAGCACTCAGTTTTGCAGAGTGGTGAATACTTTCATCCAGAAAATAAATCTCAACTTTTGAGTATATTCAAACCTAATTCTTCTAAGATTCCTGCT